TGCGCTTCCCAAGGCGGACAAGTCATTCCATGCGGGGCTGAGCGCCATGCTCAAGACGCAGGACTAGAGGGACAGCGACCCCAACCTGGTCAACTTGTGGGTGGCGGTGGCTGTCCTTCCGTTGAGCACTGTCGAGTGCGAGCGCGGGTTCTCCCGCCAGAACGTCATCAAGAGTTGGCTGCGGGGGGCTCTCAAGGATACTAGGCTAGGAGATCTGATGTGCATGTCGCAGCTAGAATATGACCCCGACTGGGAAGAGGTGGTCACCATCTGGCGGGCTTATAAGAGGAAGCCCCTTAGCAACGCCCTGCCCGAGGCTAGTAGCAGCAGGAAGGGAAAGGAGAAAGTAGATGATGATATGCCAGCAGCGCCTCAGTAGGATATGCAGGATAGTGATTGATTCCGTGTATGTAGTAAAATGTAGTGCATTCTCTAATGAAGAACCATAAAAAACGCTCATACAAAAGTTTGGCTATGACTCTGATTGGTCGGACAAAAAATCGAAGGCTATGATTTTTCAGACTTTTTCAAAGAGGTAACTCTGACACCCATACCAAGGGAAGGCAGTGGACTCTGACAAATCAGACAGGCCCAAAACCAATTTGGGGGCCTGATTGTGACCATGGCGGGGTATTTTTTTAGTACTGATCAGTCTTGTTCCACTGTGTAGGTTTGATAGGACTTGTTGCTATAGACTGATACAGCTAACACAATGCCACTGCAGGGACATAGAGCAAAAGGAGTTGGGGTGGGCAGGCTAGCTATCTAAGAACCCCCCTTCAAGGTGCGAGACGCTGAGGGTCGCGAGGGAACATCGATGACTTGCGAATGTTGTTGAGGCCGCAGAAGAGCATCACCACTCGCTCCAGGCCCACACCAATGCCCCCGTGAGGCACAGCGCCGAACCTGAGGGGTGACAGCATAAGAGCATGGTAAGTAGTGCAAGACAGGGGAGTGAGAGTGCAGGATGGGACATAAGTGCAAGGAGATGGATGGTCAACAAGGCCCTGACCAACATCACATGAGCGGGCGGAAGACAGAGAGCTCAGGCAAGGGAACTTGTGATGTAACTGAGTGCAGACGCAGGTGGAATGAGTGTACCTGAAGGAATCTATGTAAGGAGCAATGGTCTTGACGTCAATGCCACACTCTGTGGCACGGCGAGCGAGGAAATCAGCGTCGTGGATACGCTGCGCCCCGGAAAGAATCTCCTCCCCTGTTCAATGTGAAGGGAAAGGGAGGTTGCATGCAATCACACTTGGTTAAAAATGCCCCCCCTTGGCTGTTCAGAAGTCCAATAAGAAGATGTAGCATCCAGTTCCCATCCACAAGGCTCCTATACCCCCTTACCACGAATGAAGACATCAAAAGAGTTGGTGTAGCGGCCGTCATCAGGGCATGGCATGGTGTAGAAGGGACGAGCAGCCATGGGGTAGCGGTGCATGATGTAGAAATCCACGCCATACCTGAACCATGGGGTAGGAGAGGGAGAACGGTAGTGAAAGGGGGTAAAAGTAAATGGATTTTGGGCGGGACAACAAGGGCACCGTGGCCAGTCATACACAGATGAATGTCAAGCTGGTCATTCTTTCCCCCACCCTTTTCCTCCCCTTCTCCCATCCCTCCACCCATGGCCTACTTTTGTTTGACCAGCTCGCCCAGCTTCTTCTCCTGCTCCGTGTTGATGTCACCAAACGCGTCCACCTCGTACCCCGCTTCCTGCTCGCCATGCCATGCCACGCGCACCGATGGGTAACATCATGTGCCAAGGGTGGGGAGGGGGAGGAACGGAAGGAAGGAAGGAGAGATTGCAAAGGACGCAAGGAGGGCGCCGCAGACCGAGAGTGCAGCAAACTGACAGTGTGTTTGGAGGGGCGTCGAAACAAGGGACACAGGACGCGGATCAAGAGTCAGGCATGCGGAAAGTGTAGCGGGGCAGCAGGGGCGACACACATTCAGTTTGGTAAAGACTGAGCTGCACAAATCACCTTGAGTAGAGCCATGCCTTCCGGGAATGTGATGCGCACTCCCTCCTTGGTGTACTGCACACCGTGACGAGTGTGCGTGTGGGGGCGAGGAGGAAGGGGATGGAAGCGGAAGTGAGAGGAGAGATGAACGACAGAGAGCGAGAGCTTTGGGAAGAAAGCTGGAGTTTCAAAAGTCCGAAGTGAACAAAGAAGATAGGGCAGACATGCCTGGGTGGCGTGGCATGACCGGCAGCAGAGGGGTGCAAGAGCGGAAGCAGACCTTGAGCGGTTCAAAGGGGTACTGGTGGTTGATGGCGGCGAGCTCCTTGGCGCAGCGCGTGTTGAGCCCGTCGAATATGGCCACGAACAGGTCGTTGATCACGTCCATGATCTGACACGGGGAGGGGGGGGGGGACGGCGAGCGGTGGATGCTATGGGATAGGCGGCCCAGGGATGGGAGACATGTAGCACAGACTAGGCAAATAGGCAAATCGGGCTTAGGGAGAGCACGGCACACGTTACAAGAAATGGCATGCGAAATGCGTAACACAAATTGGGGGGGGAAAAAAAACAATGCAGCCAACTGCGACATGCCTTCATCCCCCTCCCCTCCCCCCTGCCCACCTCGGAGTAGTGCTCCCTAATCTCCATCTCGAAGTCCATGCCGGTGAACTCGCACAGGTGGCGGTGCGTGAACGAGTCCTCAGCGCGGAACACAGGCCCGATCTCAAACACACGGCCCAGGTCCGCGCACACGGCCATCTGCTTGTACAGCTGCGGCGACTGCGCCAGGCACGCCGCCTGCCCCTTGTAGTCCAGGCGGAACACCGCCGCCCCGCCCTCGCTGGACCCCCCGATGAGCTTGGGCGTGTGGATCTCAATGAAGCCCTGCGACGTCAGGTACTCGCGGAACAGCTGCAAGCAGACGGGGCGGGGGAGGGGGTGGGGGGGAGTTATGGAAAGGATATGCAATGGGCGAGGGAGGGGAGGAAGAGAGGTGGGATGGGGAGTGCAGTGTGAGCGGGGAAGGGGGGTGCGAAAGAAGCACCTGAGCTACAGCGGAAAGCACCTGGCTGGCTGGCTGGCTGGCAGCCTGGCAGTAGCAGGCCCAGCGCACCTGGCTGACGGCTGACTGCACGCGGAAGATGGCCTGGTTGGCGGGCGTGCGCAGGTCCAGCACGCGGTTGTTGAGCCGCGTGTCCTGCCCCACGCGCACGTACTGCACGCCCGCCTGCCACACAGCCAAAGGGGAGAGGGGGAGAGCGGAGAAGGGCGAGGAAGAGAAGGGGGTGGAGATGCGAGGGGAGTGAGAGGGTTGACCGGGGGAGAGTGTTATGGGAGGAGCACGGATGAGAGCAAGACGGAGAGAGAGGCAGCGGGAATCAAGGGAGGCACATGGATAACAGAGAAAGGGAGGCACAGCAGCAGGCAGGAGCGGGCACAGCAGCGCACCTTCTCGGCGTCCTCTATGTCCTTCTCGCTGCGCGCCGCATCGTCGATGTTCAGCGGCAGCACGGGCAGCGCGCGCGACACCGCGTGCACAGCGCGCACATGCAGCTCCACCTGCAAACCGGGGGGGGAGAGGCGCACGGGGGACGTTTAGGAGAAGGTTGGCGGAGGGTTGGGGGGGTGCGTGGAAGGGGAAGGAGAGGAGGGAGGCGCGGGGGAGGCAGAAGATGGGGTGCCAGGGCGGTGGGATTTGCAGCGAGCGGCGTTCATCCAACGGCCAAGCCATGCCATGCCACGCCCGCCATGCCATGCTGCCGTGCTGCTGTGCTGTCCCCCTCGACTGCCATGCTGCCCTGGCCTCCCCCCGGGACAAGCAACCAATGGCCCGTTGCGCTCACTCCCCTCGCTGCGTTGCCTCACCTGCTGCGACGTGCACTCACCTGCTGCGACGTGGACTCGATGGGCTTTTCCGGCACGACGACCTCCCCCGTGACGTCCACCACCGACTCGCGGCTCAGCCCCGCCGCGTACTTCACCATGCCCTTGCTCACGTGCGCGCCCTCCGCGCCCACCGCCAGCACGCACTGCACCGTGCACCCGCCCTCGCGCACCACGATGAACCCCATCTTCCCCTTGGCGCGCACGTTGTGCACGCGCCCGCGCACCAGCACCACCTCCCCCGCGCGCGCGGGGACCAGGTCCGCCACGCGCGCCCACTGGCGGCCCGACACGCACTTGGACTGCACTTCCTCGGGCGGCAGATCGCCGTAATTCGCGGCGAGCGGGTCCTCCTCCTCTGCGAGGCGCAGGACCGGCGGAGATTTCGGCGGGGGGGGGATGCGGGGAAGGGGGCGCGGGGAGCAGGAGGCGGGGCGGGGGAGTGGTTGTGCGGGTGTTAAGGAGTGTAAGACAGCGGGGTCGCAACGATAAGGATATAAGGCCGATCGAGTGGGCGGGAACGAGGAGGGAGAGGAGAGGGGACACGGAGTCACGAGGAGGGCGGCATTGCAGGGTCGGCAAACGAGAACGCCATGACAGCGGGATGCCGTGACGGGCAATGGCGCGGATCGGGAACATCCGACGCACCTGCTGCCGCCTGCTGCTGCTGCTGCTGCGCCTGCCGCGCCGCCAGCCGCTCCGCTTTCTTCGCTGCCTTCGCGTCCTTCTTAGCCGCCGACTTGCTCGCCGTCTCCCCCGCCTCGCCTGCGCCACCCGCCGCCTGCTCCGGTTTCTGCCCGTCTGCTATCGTTGCTGCAGCGAGCGAGGTCGCCACGTCAGCTGCGGAGGGCGCGGCGTCAGCCATAGGATATGATCTGATCTGATCCTCGGAGAGGAGGGCGCCGGGCCGTGGTTGGGAGATATGGTGTATCGTGGCAAATCGACGGAGATAGGCTGGCGAGGAAAAGCGCAGCGAGGCGGACAAGTGATCAATGACTACGCGCGTGCCGAAGGGAATGGTGGCGGAGGTTTTTGGGGACTGGCAAAACCTCCATCCCCGTTTAGAGCCTGTACATGTAGCTGACCTCCATCTTACATTCCAGAGACATACAAAAACAAGCTGCGTTTCTCACAGAAAGAAATGCAATATCTTCGACCCGTTCTCATGAACAGAACATAAATGGCAATTGCTTGCAGCATGTAGAAACGTTTGATGGAACTAAACTTTAGGAACTCGCATTGTAACACACGGGAGAAAAAGACGACCGCAAAAACGCCCTCAACCCAGCCAAAAACCAGCCACTTCAACAGCAGACCACACATGATGCTGTGAAGTGAAAAACACCTCGGGGAGCTACAGCTAGGAAGGTGGCATGTGTGCGTAGTCGTCGTTACCCGCATCAGCCCAATCGCTCCGCCGCACCAGCGTGTTCCTCACGTCCCTCACTCTCAGAATGAGATCCAGCGGCCCGTTGGCACTGCCACCATCGCATGCGGCAGCTGCTGCTGAGTCAGCAACCACAGCTGGTGCAGGATCAGCAGCCACAAGCAGACTGGCCACTGGCGCCAGCACAACGGACGGCAAGCACGCGGTGGCAGGGGGCAGAGCAAGGGTGCCAAAGTTGCCGAGCAGCAGCGGGTCGACCCGCGATATGGGGTGGATACCCAGCGTGCCCAGCACACAGCCGCCCAACACCAGCAGCCCCTCCACTGAATGGCCCGCACTGGGCCCTGCCATGGCTGCTCCGTGCACGCGCACAGGCGACCTGACGGCATCGGGGGCAGAGCAACAGCAGAGCGTGAAAGGCCAGGAGGGACAGGCGGAGAAAGGACGAGCAAGTGAGAGATGGGCATGGAAGCAACCCAGCAATGCACACCATGCCACGCCATGCCATGCCATGCCATGCCATGTGTGCTGTAGATTGGGAATGCGGAGGCATGTATCACGTGGCAGCGTGGCGGTGGGTGCGTCTCACCAGTGCAGGGAGCGCAGGTTGAGGAGGTACACGTCCGACAGGTAGTCGCGCGTGCCGTAAGTGGTGCCCTCCACCAGCACAATCTGGTCCGGACCCACCTGCGCTCACCACCACGCAGCAGCATGCAGGCAGCAGGCAGCGGGGAGTGTGGCGGATTAAAGCCCGTCCGGCAGGTTGCATATTGGTACTGTTGCAGTAGGTGGGGCGGCAGATTACGATTGGTTGACGAGGAAAGAGATAAGCGAAATGTTTTTGCGAAACTTCATATTCGTCCACCTCGTGCTTGCGCAGGAGTTCCCAAGGGCTACGCAACCTGGCAGAGGTGTCAGGTTTGAGCCCCGTCATTTGGCAGGGGACTCACACCTGCCTCTTTGCCATGTTGCAAGGGGGGTTTTCGTGCCTGCGTTTTTGCACTAACAGCCCACATCGTTTTTTTGTTAGGGCAAGTCGAAAGGAAACGAGTCTCAACTATTGGGCTTCGGTTTCGCCCTTCTGCAATCAAACACACACTGATACACTTTCGCTAAACCGCCTGAAAGTCAAAATTTGAACGAGTAATTACCCTTTGAGCACACTTCGTGCTTGTTCACCTCGATACTTGGCAGGGACGCAAACTTGCCAAGTTTGTCGAGGCACAGAGTTGAGGTGTTTGAGTCTCGTCAACCACTGCTGCGGGTGGGTTCGGTTACAGGTTCTCAAGATGCAGCATCTTGAGAAGAGAGAGTTGCAACCTGCTGGTCGGGCTTTAAAGCCACAGTACGCATTCCCTGAAATGTGTGAATCTGATTATAGTGTAACTTCGTTGCGGAAAATGAACGTCCTCGCCAGTTGTCGAAAACACTCGAACACGAGAATTTGGAGTACATGTACTACAAATCCCCATTCTTGCTGCAGAGTTGTGTACCCGCGCCCCGCAATTTCGTTTCCCCCTTGTAGCCGCCCTCCCCCCCTTCCCCCCTCCCCCCCCCCCGCCCCGAATTTCCTATGTTACAAATGCGTTCCCCCGAATTCGTCCCCGTTCCGCCCCTTGTCGCGCCGCCGCCCTGCAGTTCCCCCCTGCGATTTCGACTCAGTGCCGCAATTCCGTTTCCCCCCTCGCTCAGCATTTTCCTATCGCCCCCCCAATTTCGCCCCCGCCCCTCTCACTGTCGAATGTTTACAGCTCTCACCCCCCCGATTTCGTCCCCAATTGCATCCGCCCCTTCGTTTTCCCGCGTCCGCTGTTCCAATTTGGCTTCCCCGATTTGGATGACAGTTGTCGTCACTCTCGCTGCCCAATCAGCATTTTACGAACCTAACTCACACTGTAGCAGTCAACACATTTCAGGGAATGTGTACCGCGGCTTTAAGAGGGAGACGCGCGGGACAGGGAAAGAAGAAGCAGGTGGAGAGAGGTTTCGGGTACCCCCGGGGTTTTGCCTTTCGCTGAGCCGGAAACCCCAGGCACTCGGCAATGCACCTGAGCACACCGTCTGACAGCCGCCCCGCCTACCTTGGTGATTCCAGAGCGGTTGCGCGGCAGCGGCAGAAGAGCAGCGCGCGAGGGAGGGAGGCGAGGAGGGGCGTGCCACGTCATGGTGGAGAGGTCCAGCGTGAAGGCCTGCGGGAAGAGCGGGAAAAGGGGAGGGGGGGGGGGGGGGGGGGGGGGGGGGGGGGGGGGCTGTGATAGTTGTCGTGAGACGATTTCCATGCACCGAAGGGCTGCTGGTCTAGAAGTCCTTGAGGTCTCCATAGCCCCCAGCAGGTCACAAGCAACCCAGCATTGCACCATGCACACTCGTCCTCGCCCACCCGCCAAAGCACGTCCCACCGTTGGGACGCGAGCACGGGAGCAAGCGGCGTTGCACACCTGCATGTCCTCCATCTCCTCGTGCTTCTCCCGGTACCCGCCAAACACCACCAGCCGCTCCTGCTCCCGCCCTCGCTCCCGCTCCCTGCTGCACAGCAGGGGCACAGCAACGGTGCACGAGCAGGAAGAAAACGGGGCGCACGGGGGAAAGCGGGAGGTGGGATGAGCGGGTGAGGCAGAGGGAGGAGGAGAGCAATGCCGTGGCATGGATGGCATGGCATGGCAGGGGAGGGCAGTGACGGAGATGGCAGAGGCCCCAGGGCGCCACTGTTCTGGCAACTTACGAGTGCGTGCACGCGTGGTGCAGGAACCGCACGCCCGGCCCGCGTCCCCTCGTCGCCACTCTCCGCCACACCATGCGCCGCACGTCCAGCACATACACCACCGCTGCGCGCTCCCCTTGCTCTCCGCCCGCCCCCCCAACGCCCCCACTCGCCGCCTGCTCGTTCCTTTCCCCGCGCCCCGCGTCTCCTTCCACCTCGTCCTCCCCCCACGCGCCCGTTCCCCCGTCCCCTTCCCTGTGCGCCACCGCGCCCTCCACTTCGCCCGCGCGCACGCCAGCACTATCCCCGCTCCCCGCAGCTTGCCCAGACGTTTCCGTGCGCGCGGCGGAATCGGCGGGGATCGCGCGCACTTCGCAGCCAGCGCTTGCGCGCGCTCGCTGATCGCACTCATCCGCGGAACAGCAGCTGCAGGCGGATGCCGCTCCGCCGAGACTCGCGCTGCCACTGCTGCACGCGCAGCTGCTGCTGCTGCCGCTGTCGCTACTAAGCGCGGTGCTGCAACTGCTGCTGTGAGCTCCCAAAGACGACTGACTACCATCCCAAGTGACTCCCCCGCTCCCGTCCTCATCCTCCAACTGTCTCCGCCCCTCGCTCCCGCCACTCCGCGCGAAACGCTCCGCATGTGCACCAAACGAGGGACCGTCGACCGCCCCAGGAGTGCGCAAGAGCGCGGTTGCGAAGCCGTTGATCGAGCTGCCGCTCGACCCGCCGCCGCACCATCCCACCGCGGAAGGCGGGCCTTGCTGCGCAGACAGCGCTTGATGGCGCCTCCGCCGCTCGAAAAGCTCATGCCCGAGAGACCCAGTGGAGGTCGGAGAGTGCGCTTGCGCATCCCGCCCCGTCGCGCGGAGCCCCCGACTAGCCTCGTCCCGAACATGCTCCGCCTCCCCAGCTTCCCCCTCCGTCGCATCCCATCCGCGCAGCTGCTCGTCCGCCTCATCCGCCCAGTCGTTGAGCTGTGCGCCCTCGCCGCTGCGGAGACAGGCGGAAGGTGGGGGGAGGGAAGAGAAGGTGAGCGCGGGGGGCGGAGAGCGGAGAGCAGGAAGACGTGCGGGGGAACAGGAGGGCGAGAAAGCGTGGCAGGCAGGTGTGCAGGACGAACAGAAAGAGCGCGAGAGTGAGAGTGAGAGAGGGGCGAGAGAGCGAGAGAGTATACCCGTAGACGATAACATGGGCACCATGGTCGAAGGAGCACATGGTGTGGTGGAAGCGCGGCGACGGCGGCACGCCAGCAGCGGTAGCTCTGCGCCACACGACGCGGCGACCGGCGTCCGTGATGGCGAGGAAGAACGACTCCTCCGCGCCGTACACGCCGCCCTGTTGCAACCGGGGGGAGGGGGGGGAAAGGTGGGGGAAGAGGAGTTGAGGGGGAAGGAGCGGGCGGACAACCGGGGGGATGGAGAATGGATAGATTCGGAATGAAATCGGCATCGCCTAGAGCCGAGTCGCACGGCTGTTCTCGATCGAGGCAGGCGCGGAGCGCAACACACAGCGGGGAAGTCGGCGGCGCGCACCTGCAGGTTGTACCCGCCGAACACGAACAGCACGGGGTCCGACGGCCCCGCGAACCCATGGCGGAACGCCTCCACCACGCGCACGAGCACGGCGGTATGGCGGAAGCGGGGGAGCGGCGGGGAGTCGGCGGAGAAGACGTCCACGTGCGGATGGCGCATGGCCATGGTGGCGGTGTCCACTAGCACCACGTCCATCACCGCCTGCCCGCTGCGCATCAGCCCGCCAACGATGATCTGCCACGTGTCCACCTGGCGGTAGAGGAAAGGGCGAGTCAAGGGACGTGCGTCGCAAATGCTGACGAGAGGCGACGCGAGGAAGGGGGAGCGACGCTTTCAATAAGAGAGCGGGAAAACGAGTCGTTGGGGAGGGGAGGAAGAGGGACGGAAGCAGGGACGGGGGGCGAGGGGAAAGCGCGGGAGGAGCAACCGCGAGCAATCACCTCGGTGGCGGAATGCCCCGTGCGCTCGAGCGACTCCAGCGCGCTGACCGCCGTCTCGTCGTATGGGCACACGCCCGCCACCGGCGGCGCCGCCATGGGCAGCAGCGGCGCCGTGAACACCTCCGCCCCGCCCTCCGCCTGCTTGCTGCGCCGGGCGGCTATCAGGCTGCGCGGAACAGACGCACACATCACGCCAAGCCGGGGAACCGATGCGCGGACGGGATGCAGGAGAAAACGCGAGGATAAGTGAGAACCACGATGCACTCACGTGGGAGCACACTGGGCGGGGATGCGCGGGCATGCGCGGGAATGCGCGGGGATGCACGGGGATTCGCGGGGATATGCAGGGAGGTATGGGGAAATGCAGGCGAGGAGCATGAGCGATGATTAGCGCGCGCACCTCTGGCGAAAGATCTCGCCGCCATTAGGCCACCATTGCAGCTCGACGGCTCTGATGCTCGCGCCGAACACGCGATGCCAGAACCACGCCTGCACGCGGTCGTCTCCGCCTTCCAGCAGCCACCGCTGCTGCCGCCCACGCTCTCCCACACGCGCGTCAAGCGGCATCCGACCTGACTGCGGGCGCGAAACGCTCCCGTCGCCGCGTGCCGGATGGACCGCGGATGCCCCGCTCAGCCGCCATGGACCTCCGGGCTCGTCGGCGCGCTGGTGTTGCACGGGAAGCCGCTCCGCAGTAGCCTCCTCCGCGTGGCAGTGCATGGCGAAGGCGCGATGCAGGGCGCACACGGAAGGGCCGAGACGCGACATGCAGAGGCTGCACAACGCACGCAGAGAAGTAAGCGAAGCGACGGAAGCCGTTAAGTGTTCACGGAAAAAAGTGAACTGAGGAAGTGAGCGAGCAGATTGAAGATGGAGAGAACAGAGGAGCACGAAATGGGGAGGGGAGACTGAGACGAGAGACGTGGCTGCCGCAGAACGGGTTTTGCGCATGGACTTCTAAGGAGGACCCAATGACAAAGCCCCGCGTGATTTACAGTAAGACCACGGGTCGGTTAAAAGGACGCAGCGCAACGTGATGGCAGCGGGACGCTCGCCGAAAAGCGAGAGAGCAGTCGTTTAACTACCTGTGCCATCTATCGGAGGCGTGCGAGTTATCAGGGGAGAGTATCTCGTGGCGCACGGCTGCGCAAGTGCAGGCGAGGCGTGCGAGCGAGACGCCATCGAGTAGGTCCAGTATTTGAGACTGGACCTCTCCTGGCAGAAGCAGAAAAGGGGATGCTTCGTCTCTTCTAAAAGACTTGCGCGATAGCATCTGTGCAGCGTGGCTACTACAGGTCGGACGAGGTGAGGCGGAGGTGTTGACGGAAGCCATGGCTGGAACTGCTATCACACCACCCCCTCCTGAACATAGAAAGCTACTCCACTTCTGACAAAACCAGACTCGACTGCAAACGAAACCCTAGGGAAGGAAACGAAACGAAACCAAACCAAACGGTTCCGTCCCGCCCACACACTCCAGTGGAGGGGCCTCGGTTCAAGGGTAAACATCAGGGATGTCAGGTACATTGAGCTGGAATCAGGATTTTGGTGAGGTTTGTTTCACAAACCTCCCGACCTCCCCGACGTTTTCTCCTGGACTTGGAGCCTTCCAGCATTGGTTGGGAAAACACTGTAGGAAAAAACACACTACGAGATTCGCACTCGGCTGTATCTTGAATTATTCATGCAGCATGTGCTCTTCCAGACCCCAGCCACCATGTGCAAGGCTTGATTGGTGTGCTTCGGGAGAGCACTTGAGTGCATTTGTTCAGAGGCTAGTGTGCATGCTGTTTGGGTAAGTAGCTTCTTTCTGTAAGTGTGCACACTGTTTTAGTATGTTTCGAAACTTTAAAACCAGCATCCCAAATTGTTCAAACGCGCTGCGTTTGAGATTTGACCTGAGGTTGCACGAAACACGAAACTAGCCCCTAATTTGGGATGCGGGTTTTAAGATGCTTCGTATCTAACATTTTCCCCAAATTGTGTATTCTGGAACCCTGGAACTCAGAATACCCTGCAAAATTCCCCTGCTTACAGAATCTGCCTGGAATCCTGAAAAGCAGGGGAAGTTTCCAGGGTATTCTGAGTTCACGAGGACTGCTGTAGGGCAAATCCTGCGTTTTTCGAGAAGAAAAAAATTACCTGCTTCAGTGCCTTGTTCCGCACCCGATTTGCATTCCTCGTGCTCGGCGCAGTGTGGAGCATTCCGAACTGAAGAGCAACAGACAGACGGCTCACGACGAGCCGCCGATTTCGTGGTTGGCCCGCCACCTGTCTTTCAGAGTACAGTATCCTTACAGCTTGCGAAACCCAACGTTTTCTGCCTCCGAATTCATCCAAAATTACCCTTCTTACTGGTCGGGGAATGCCGACGAACCAAGTTCAGCTACAATGTACAGAACAAGGTTTGCCAAAGGAGAAAGGAAACGGAGCGTTTAACAGTTAGGTACAGTATTACGGTAAGGGCATGAAACATACAGTTCCGAACTCCTGAAAAGCTCGGACGGCCTGAGTGGTAGAGTCATTTTCAAAACAGTTTTTACGATTTGAAGATAACCGCGTGGTACAGTGTGAAGCTCGGACGAAGGCTGTTCGGAACTGTATGTTGAGATTGGCAACCTCTGCCCTCCAAATCAGGGCTCTCGCCAAGCCTAGGGTAGTCCGCTAGGTCACGGAATCGGCCCAGAAAATTCCCCTTAGCGGACGGAATCGCCAAAAAATCACCCGATAACATACGGATTCGTTGAAGAGCTAGTCGTGGTTTGATACTACCATCGTTGAAGGCAAATGACCTTGGACAAGCGAATCTCAGGGACTGTTTCTTGCGCATACTACACCTCAGGCAGTTGGAAGAGTAGAAACTCCCGGCTTTGCTTAGTGGAGGAAGTTGGGAAAGGTAGAGGGGAGGGTGGGAAGGGGTGATAGACCATTATGAACAGATCTCCTACTGCAATTGAACTTCGAACGGAATTTAAAAAAAAAAGTAACCCGCAATCTCAAGGAATCACACAAGAAGTAATCCGTTAGGCAGACAGAGCCAAAGAAACTTTTACTATGCAAGAAAACAGGTTCCGGTCGGAAACAACTCTTAATTTAGAGATATTAAGGGCTACTACCCTTCTAGCCAGAGCCCTGCTCCAAATCATCTCAACGCCCTAGATCGGCCTTTCAAATTCATTTCTGGCAGCACACATTGTGCATTGGATACCAGACATACAGCAGGTAGTGGGTTCAGCAGCAGTGCTTTCGTTGGGAGTCATAGAAACGGACATACAGTAAAAGTTTCTCGTACCAACGGGTAAGATACAGGGACAGAATCGGGCTGGGCATTTTGCGGCCAACATTTGAACGAATCAACTGACACTCGCCAAATTCGTCGTGCCCAGCCGGAAAACCAAACCAGCTCCCGCACACCAAACAGAACCCTGGACCAAAAATGGTGCAGCACTGTTCCATACAGGGGTGGCCCACTTCTCTTGACCCAGCACCATGAATGGAGGGCATGAAGCTCGAACAAACCAGCTAGAAAGGTGAGGGTCTTCTGTGTCTCTAGAAATTAACGTCCTTATTCCATTTCCTCACAAGATTAAGCTTCTTCTTGTCGTATAGTACACCCATTCGCCTTTGACTAACAAGTGAAGGGGAAAAGTTGCATTCTCGGCCTTAAGTTTTGTGGCCTAGGTAGCGGTAGTGCATCTACTCTCCCGACCCCACTGCGACATGGCGGCACCTCATACCCTCGGTTTCCTGGGCTCTCCCTTATCCTTGGCAAATGTACCTTGTCGTCCCAAAGGGTAGTTATTCACAACACCCGTCACAAACGGATACAGTACTTCCGGGTTCAATTTCTTCCGTTAACAAATTGCCCTGGGCCTTGACGAAACACGAGGCTGTTCACACCCACAAATCGAACTACAGTAATGTACAGCTGCAGCAAGTCACAAAAGAAGGACCTTCTGACAGTGGCGGAAAGCGACAGGTTCTTTTGCGAACTGTAGCTAGACAAGCCCGCAAAAGCTTGTTGGGCCGATAAGCCGATACGTGCAGTCCCCGAGCAATCAATCTCAACTACGCTTAGAGCGTGTCCAAAGTGCTATTTTTCATCCGTGGATTACAGGTCTATCATCCGAGAATAACAGAAACCCCAGAATTGCACTTCGGACACCAACAGTAGAAGCAACAACCGTAACAGTGCCACACGTGCCGTTTGCGGGCGGCTACTGGCAGACAACTCGATACTCAAAAATTTGACTAAAAAGGTTACGCTTTCGCGGGACCTACCTCATCAGCTTCGTCAACCTCGAAACAGGCAGCTGAAACATTTTCGTTGGCGGGTCGCCAGCATTGCATGGTTTCGCATGCAGGTGCGAGTTTCGAGGGTTGCTCCTAGCTGAATTTCTCAATGCGTGTTTTCGTGTGAATGGCGCCAAATTTCACTGTAGATTTTAGCGTGCACTGACCCGTAATCCTGCCCAACCAGACTGTTTCGGTTTTTCTGAACTGTAGCATGTCACCCGTTTGTCACGCGTTCAGCCAGGGTCGCTGCAAAGCACTTTGGACGCGCCGAACGGCTTGGCACCCTTTGTCATCCGTTCTGTCATCTGCTGTTACCGCTGTCATTCACAAAAACATATTACTACGGACACGCTCTTATCTCCACATGTTCCACATGGGATGCACATGAAGTTCAGCACATGGGTACAGGTCACACACGACACGACTAGTGCAACGGCTCTTTGGGCAAATACACCTGTTCTACGATACAAGCACGCATTTTTTTTGCGCGGTGCGTGCATGTATCCTCCGGCCAAAACACCGAGCAAAAAGGGCTTGTACACTTCGGGGGCGGGAGTAGCCGGACTGTAGTCATTAAATGCGGACGGCCTATGTGCGTCCGTTCTGGTAACCAGCGCGAGAAACTTCTGACCCGCATGAAACGGGTCATGTTACAACAACAACAACATTGCACTACGTTTATGAGACAACTCCTACAGAATTACAACACTTCGTTTACAAGAGCGACACGTTTCTCCAGAGATGACACCATATGTTCCAGCTCCTACCGAAGGCCACAATTTCAGCCTTCCCACGTCGTTGACGTTCATCGAGACGACACACGCTCATACTCTCCAGTGTTAGCATATGCCGCGCACCTGAGAATCACAAACTCATGAAGAAACAGAGAGGCACACCTGTCCACACCCCCTACACAGACGCACACCCACACACCAACGGGCGAAGTTGCAAAGAATCACAACACACTGAAGCACACACACCCACACACGCGCACATTCAATCACAGTGCAGAGAGGCCCACAAACCCACGCCCACTCAAACACACGGGGACACGCAAACCACTTAACGAACATTGGATGCAAGGGAGATATGGAGAGGCACACAGTGTGTGTTTAAAAGGTCCTCATGATCTCCGCCGCGCCATCAAAACCGTCCATCACAGCCGTCGCTTGCAAAAGTCGTTCGCGGCTGATAGCGGTGTCCCGAGTGTCTCGATCGTCGCTGCAGCTGGCTGAAGCGCGAGGAGATGGAGCGTAGTTCAGGTCGATGCTGAACATCTTGCGCGGCTTTGGGCTAGCCCTCTCGAGGCGTTCAATCACATCAGCGTTTCGGATATCGAACAGCTCCTTGAGGTAGCGCGGACGGATACGCGTCGCCCTCGCATAAGCGATGAGCAGATCCGTCGCTAGGCGCCGAACCCGCCGCATTGCCCTCGCGCGCTCAGACAGCTCAGCAAGCCACGGACGTCCTCAGTCGTGGCGGTGGGAGAAAGTAGGTTATGAGATGAGGCGTTGTCCACCAAGACAACGATTTGCCTATGTTCGGCGAACATGCAGGCGTTGACCGACTCGAAGAAAGAGGTGAAGATCTGTAGGTGGGGGGCGGGGGGAAGTGCGGAGGAGAGGAAAATTGAAACACAGATGGCAGGACGTTCAAGTATAATTTTGGAGAGCGAGGAACTGAGACTCACAAACTCACGTACATCCAAATTGAATCTTCACTCACTTTGGACGTCATCCAGCCCTTGGGATTCTGGCGCCAGTAGACGTATGGCTCGGGGTCGAAGTTGTTCGCGTTAAAGTCAGACGGCCGTCGCACTTTGGAGACGACGAGAGGACGATACATACTGGATCCATCTGCGTTGCATAGAAACGCCACCGTGATGCGGTCCTTTGCAGCCTTGCGACCGACGGGCGAACTATCCGACCAGGAACGACGAGGTTGCTGACCCGGGAAGAGGGCAGTCTCATCCCAATTGTAAAGATCACGCGGAATGACGCCAACATTCTCAATGAGCTCTGGCATGCGCTGCCTACACAGGTCGACAGCTGTCTTATCTGCGTCGAACGCCTTGCCTTTTCGTGCAAGGTTACGGAATCCCATGCGATGCATGGCG